GGGGTATTCCAAGGGGATTGACAGGGGACTAAGATGCTAGATTCCCACAGTCTTTTTAGGTGAACCTGCATAGAGGCTCGTGCTTCAAAGGATATCAGGTATTGTCATACCCAGACTGGGCTAGCAGTGGCTTCCAGAGAGACCATCATGGGTGGCCAGTGGGCTGCAAATCCTGGGGAGTTTCCCTTGGCCCAGACCTGAAGGATCTCCTGCATCAATTTAGCAGTTAAGGACGGCAATTGGTCCAGAGGGGGCCCTTCATGAAGACAGTGTTTGTCCTCAGCCTGCAGGGTGAGAACAAATCCAGTGGTCTCTACATTGACCTTATCTTTGTCAAAATGGATTGAGGTACCAAGTTTACTTAGGAAGTCTCGGCCCAGTAGTTGGTAGGGAGAATCAGGGATAACCATGAAGGAATGTTGGACCCTCCCTGTGCCCAAGTCAACAGTCCTTTTGGTAATCCAAGGGTAAGTATGGTCACCCGTGACCCCTTGAATAAAAGTTTGTCATCCTGTCAGGGGCCCGAGGGGGGGGGTCTCTTCAGAACTGAAAAGGTGGTGCCAGTATCAACCAGAAAGTCAGTAGCCCCCACACACACCTTCAGGGTTAGCCAGGGTTCAGAGAGGGGAGTCAATCTTTTAACTCAAGTACCTTTTGAGTTCCCTCATGTTTCCGAGGACAATCTCTTATACAATGTCTCATCTCCTTACAGTAGGCACATTGGTCTCTCTTTAGGGGGCCAGCCCGAGGGCTTGGTCCCCTCTGCCAATTCTGATCTCTGGGCGGATATCTTCTTGGGGGGGGCATTCACCCTCCCTTAGAGCCAAAGCCCGTGCCAGTTTTCAATTGTGATGTTCTTCATGTTCCTCCTGGGTCTCACAGTTATTGAAGACTTTTTCGGCGTTTTCAAGCAATTCAGAGAGACTCTTACCTTTGAAGCCTTCCAACTTTTGCAATTTCTTCTGGATATCAGGAGCAGACTGGGTCACAAAGGTGATGTTTATTGCTCATTGATTTTGTGACACCTCAGGACCAATAGGAGTATAAGCCCTGTAGGCTTCCATAAGCCTCTCCAGGAACTGTGCTGGAGCCTCTGTCTGTCCCTGCAAAACCTGATTGACTTTTGACAAATTTGTAGGTTTTTTAGCAGTAGCCTGGAGACCCCCCCATAAGAATCCGGTGGTAGAGTTTGAGTGACTCTCTACCTGCAGGAGTGTTTTGATCCCAATCTGGGTGGTGGCGAGGGAAAATTTCCTCGATCACCTCAGGATCCTCAGTAAATTGGCCATTTTCAGCTGGTACCTATTTCCGGGCCTCAGAGAGGATCTGAGTGTGTTCCTCAGTGGTGAAGAGGGTGAGAAGGAGTTGTTGGACATCATCCCAGGTGGGCTGGTGAGTAATAAAAATAGTCTCCAGGAGTCCAATTAAAGCCTGGGGTTTTTTGGAGAAAGGAGGATTTTGTAATTTCCAATTATAAAGATCACTGGTTGAGAAAGGAGAATAAACAAGAAAACTGTGGCCAGAGGAATTTGGCAGTGCCATAGCACAGAAGGGAAGGACAGCAGGGGTCATCTCAGGCCTATAGGGCTGGACTGAACATGTGTGGGGAGGGGTAAGGAGTGGATGGGGTAGTTGGAGAAGGAGGAGTGGCAGTAGAGGCAGGAGAAGGAGGAGAGGCAGGAGAAGAAGGGGGAGCAGACAGGGGTGAGAATAAGTGGGAGGATCTAAAAGGGGGTCCTCCATTGAAGGGGGAAGGACAGGAGGTGGGTGAGACTGATGAAGAGGTCGTCGGGGCCCCAGAGACAGAAGGGAGAGCTTTGAGAGAGAAGGGGGTAAATGGGGTTTTAACCATTTGGGAGGCTTGTCTAAGAGATAAAAATAAGCCATAATATAGGGGACCTGGTTAGGGTGTCCTGGATTTCCAAAGATCACAGTCTGAACAGAAGAAAGTTTGTTAACATCAAAGGACCCAGTGGGGGGGCAGTCACCATCAAGAGACAGCCATTTGAGAGAACAAATGGTACAGAATTTCCCCGAATAGACAGTGTCTCCAGAGATTGTGGGTGCCTTCTGGAAATCCTTAAAATGAGAAAGAATTAAGTCATTAAGTCAAGGGTATTGTCTTCAGATGAAGGGTATTGATCCATGATGGACGTAGGAGAATCACTGTGAAAGCGATTAGGGTTGACACCAAAGGCCTGGAGGGCACAAGCAGCCAACCATTCAGATGGAGGGTTGGGGTGTCCCCCGTTCTCCAGCTCAGAGAGCAATACTGCATCCAGTTTCTCTCCCTTGAGACCCCAGAAGTCCGGACACCCAGAACAGAAATTTAAACAGACTCACCATGGGAGAAACCAGATCTGATGTTGTCAGACGCCAGAGAACAAAAAAGACAGGAAAACAGACTGAGGGTCTTTTAGGGAATCCAGGCAGAGCCCCCAAAATGTTTGGGGTCTGAAAAATTCCCTGAATTGACCACTCAGACACTAAGACTCAGGAGAACTTAACTGCTTTATTGAAACTGACCGGCCAGGGACGCAGGCAGGCTCGGGAGCTACACTGCAACCCAGAGCTGTGGAAACACAGGGATTTTTAGCACAAAAACCACAAAGCAGGGGATTTCTATAGAAACCATAAACAGATGTACCAAGAAAGGGTTCGAACAATCTAGGGCTGATTTCCAGAGGCTTAACCTATGCATCCATTGGCTAGCTAACCTGGGGCAGAACATTCTTCCTCTTCTGCCCAGGACCATTTCCATAGAAACCATAAACAGATGTACCAGGAATGGGTTCAAACAATCTAATGGATTTCCAGAGTCAGGCGGAGGGCAGCTCTTTCTCAGAGGATGGGGGGGGGGTATGAGGGGCACTCTCCTTCAAAAGCACTGTCTAGTCTTCCAGAAGACTCCAAATTAAGTTCTCAGCACCCACATGGCAGCTAACAACCATCCTTAACTCTAGTTACAGGAGACCAATGCCCTCTTCTGGCCTCTGGGGGTATTGCACGCACTTAGAGACATGCAGGCAAAACACTCGTACACATAAAATAAAAATTAAAATCTTTTAAAAATTAAAAGGGGGCTGGAAAGATGGCTCAGCATTTAAGAGCACTGGCTGCTCTTGCAGAGAACTGGGTTCAATACCCAGCACCCATATGGGGTAAACAGTTGTAACTCCAGTTCCAGGGGATCTGACGCCACCTTCTGACCTCTGCAGGCATTGCACAACACTGTTGTACTTATACACATGCAGGCAATATGCTCATACACATAAAATAAAAATAATAAATAAAATATTTTTTAAAAAATAAAGAGCCGGACATGGTGGCACATGCCTTTAATCCCAGCACTTGGAAGGCAGAGGCAGGCAGATGTCTGTTGAGTTTGAAGCCAGCCTGGTCTACATAGTGAGTTCCAGGCCAGCTGGGGCTACAAGGAGACCCTGTCTCAAAAAACAAATAAAATAGAAAGAAGCAAGCAAACAAGAACCAGTAGAGAACTAAACATTATTAAATAACAAATGAATAGATAGATGATTGATTTAGATAGATAGATAGATAGATAGATAGATAGATAGATAGATAGATAGATGATAGATAGACCAACTGACTAGGAGGCAGGGCTGGAAGCAGGGAGGGGCAAGGATAACCCCATCTGTGCATATATTGTTGCTTAATGGCTCAATGATTAAGAGTACTGGCTGCTCATCCAGAAGACTCAGGTTTGGTTCCTAGCAGCCATGTGGTGAGTAACAATCAGCCATAACTCCAGTTCCAGGGGATCTAATGCCCTCTTCTGGCGTCCATGGGTACTGCACTCATGTGATGCCCTTACATGTATACTGCTAAAACACACATGCACTTATATACATGCAGACAAAACACTCATAGACATAAAAAATGAGTAAATAAAATTTATTTTTATGTCTGAGTGTTTTGCTTGCATGCATGTAAGTGCACTACATGCCTATGGAGGCCACGAGTCCATGGACTAGAGTTATGGACAGTTGTTAGCCACCATATGGATGCTGGGAACTGAATCCAGGTCCTCTGCAAGAGTAGTCAGAGGATTTTTTTTTCTTACCACTGAGCCATTTCTCCAGCCCTTAAAAATGATTTTGAAGACCACACCTTTAATCCCAGCACTCAGAAGGCAGAAGCAGGCAGATTTCTGTGATTTCAAGGCCAGCCTGGTCTACATAGCGAGTTCCAGGCCAGCTAGGGCTGCAGGGGGACCTTGTCGCAAAAAGACCAAAAAAAATTTTTTTTTAATTTAAAAAATAAATTTGAAAATTAAAAAAGTACAAATGCTTGAGCCTGGAAGATAAGTCAACTGGTAGAGTGCTGGCTGTGCAAGCACAAAGACCTGATTTCCATCCTTGGAACCCACAATAAAAACCTGCATGGCGGTTTCCGCCTGTAATCCCAGGCCTGGGGAGCCAGATCCCTGGGTTCTCAGACCAGCTTTTCTAGCATAGTGCAATGAAAGACCCTGTCTCAGAAAACAAGGTGGACAGGGTCCCTGAGGAACAACACGGAAGGTTGACCTCTGGCTTCCACACGATTGTACACACACACACACACACACACACACACACACAGAGAGAGAGAGAGAGAGAGAGAGA